CCCCCAAACGTCTGCAGGACACAATTCACTTAAAATGACAACTGAGCACAAATGACACTTACATTACTGAACATTGACTATCATACCTGAGAGATGAGTGTATCGCATACAGACGCCAATCCAGATCCGATGGAGATGCCAGACACATTAATAACCTGTGAGCAAAAGGGACACATTTATAAAGGCGATGGGTGTTTTAATGAATGCCGCTATAATGAAGTTATTTTGCGAACTCACAACAATAGCCAGAGCCACACCGGCCAGTTCAGTTTTCCCCAAGTGTCCACAGAACACAGTGCTGATGAAGCTGATCAGAAAGATCATCAGCTGAGATATAAATTGCATTAAGAGGAGAAACATTCAACAGTATAATAACAGCTAAAGTTTTGCCAAGTTAAAATTCATTACATAAACTTAAATTGACTCTACACTGCATCTTTAAGGGATAGTTCACCCAAACATGAACATGAAGTACTCACTCTCATCTCGTTCCTAACTTGTAAGACTTTCATTCATCTTCAGAACACAAATTAAGATATTTTTAAAGAAATCTGAGAGCTTTCTATCCCTCCATTGACCGTACGCAACTACCACTTTGACGCTTCAAAAAGTTCATAAAGAGCTCATAAAACTAATCCATATGAATTGAGTTGTTTAGTCCAAATTTTCTGAAGACTCGATCGCTTGATATAATGAACCGATTTAATTTAGGCTTTTATTCACATTTAAAACTCGATCGCTTGATTTAATAAACAGATTTAAATTAGGCTTTTATTCACATTTAAACATTGATCAGCAAACATAAACAGAAGCTCAATCGAACTGCTTGACGCAGGTTCAAACCTCTAGCAAAAGCTCAAACGTGCTGCGTAACATGAGAATGAACCTTATTGGTTCTTTAAGAGGCTTTTTATATTTAAAAAAAATAATTAATATACATATTTATATTGTATGTGTGTGTGTGTATGTGTTATTTGTTTGGCTCAATAAAGTTCTTAAGGTGCAGTTAAATAAAATGCTGAATAATTGTATTTTTCATCCAATTGATTTAGATCACACTGAGTAACTCTTAAACTTTTGACAAAGTCAATTTAATAAACTCACCACTGGTCCAGCCAGTTTTAGCAGCTCTATAATTTCTTCTTCTTACTGGCAAAAAACACCTGAGTTTTCTTCGAAATTCAGTAACAATCCGTGAACTTGAAGTCGACTGAGCATCATTGCTTCTCGTGTTTTGGGTATTCATTTATCTGAGTTTCTGTGTTAATACTGTCCGTTTCCATTACTGAAGCATGTCCCCTGTAATCACAAAGCATTAACTTTTACTTTGTTAACCATAAATCTAATACATCTGGATACAAAAAATACATTCAATAAAAATAATAATAATAATAATATATAAATATATATACCTTAAAGGACTACTAGGCAGACCTTTCAAGAAAAACACTTTGGAAACTGTCAGACATTAGCTTCTTCCTTGTGTAGTACAAAAGGTTATAACAGCAGTCACTGCAGGTCAGGTTTCATTAAAGGAACCCCAAAATAACATCCACTAAACACTAAAAGCTCCCTATACACTCGTAGCAGGCAATGCTGATAGTCATGTGAGCTGGTAGTTACATTTGCATTATGAAAACCTTGCAGTGCAGATAACATACATTTTACTGTAGGACTTTTATATCTAGGACGCTTTTGTATCTAGAGATCAAGCACTCATGTATTCACTGAAAAAATGGTAACATCTAAATTAACTGGTCTTATTCAAGATATCATATTATTTAACATCACCGAACCAACATGTGTTAAATCAGATAGAAATAGTTTTTTAAGGTCAGGTTCAGGTTATCTCTTTTTACAGTGTAAGACATAAAGGAAATGTACATTGAGGCACCTTTTTAGTAGTTTAATCATATGCTGTGCATATTTAGTTTTATAAATGTAAAGGAAAAAGTGAACAACATGGTCAAATCAAAGCAGTTTCCAGAGCTGATGTCAAGAGTCCAAGCTGGACACTATAATATTGAATATTATAATTAAATGTATTGTTCCAAAAGGGTAAAGCTGAACTGTAATTGATGAAAAAAGGCCCCTAAATGATAATATATTCAGTAGGGGTGTCCCCGACTAAGGATTTTCATAGTCGAATCAGATTCGTCAAGTCCTGCCTATAGTCGACTAATAGTCGAATCATGTGTGTGGTGTTGGGGAGGGGGCGGGGCTTTAACATTTTAAAGCCGCGATGTACAGAACATCACACAAAGATATAGAAGAAAATGTATAAAAACATTTTGGATCAATAAAACTAAGAAATAACATAAAAAACTGCAGAAAGGCCACACTGCAGATAGGATTTGCATTTCACATGCAAATCAAATTAAATCGGCTGAATTGCCTGTACGAGCATGCTCTACAGCGCAACATCGATGCACTGAAAAATAATCAACAATTAAGAACACAATATACATTTATAATAAATAAAAATACAAAACGAAATAAGTCAGAATCAAGTCACAAGAAGCAGAACAAATGTGTGCAAAATGCCTAAAGTGCAGGGGAACAAATATTCAAAACACAAGTCACAACAAATAGTTAAATTAGATCACCCTGAGTGATCAATTAATAAAATAAAAATAAAGAAATTATTAAAATAACGAAAGTATGGCCAGGATTGTCAACTTTGTCTTTTTAACTGCAGAAACAACAATAAACGCTAAACTGGAGCGGCAGTCTTTTTAGCTAAACGTGTTCACAGTATCCAAAAATCAAATTAGAACCGGCTGAAATGTTTTGAAATCACTTGTACCCATACCTGATCGAAAAAACAAAATCCAGTCTTTCACTCGGCCTGTGTCCGTTTGAGTCTTTTCAAATTGTGTGCGCGGATAAAATACATTCTAAAACGCTTAAACGCTGTGCTTCATCTCAGCAGCCACTGGAGGTCTTTCTTCCACCCTCTTTCAAGTTTGTAAAAGGCCTGTTGTGTTGGTTACACTCAAGAATGTGAGGTTCTTGTGGTCATGTAACATAATCCTGACATGGTCCTATGAATATTACTGATGTTCATATGTAAAATGTTAAGGAGTTCAGGGGACAGAGGCTCTGTCAGATCATATTAAAGGGATAGTTTACCCATTTACTCATTTACTCTCACACAAGCTTCCAAACCTGAACGAGTTTCTTTCTTCAGCTGTATGCAAAAGAAGATATTTTGAAGAATGCGTGTAACCAAACATGGCATGGTCCCTACTGACTTCCATAGTGTTCCATAGTATTTATAAAATTATAAACAACTAGAAACGTTCAAGTTTCAAAATGTAACCATTTCAGCAACTCTTCTTAGTAACACTTTACATTAAGCTCACATTTGTCAACATTATTAAATGCATTAGCTAACATGAACAGTGAGGATTATTTTTTAATTCATTTATTAATCTTATAACACTTCATAGTACACGTACTTACAAATCATTAATAATCTATGAGTTCATAGTTAATTCATAGTTAATACATTGCAATCACTATATTGTTAAAATATCAGGCTATATACAAATAGTGAGTTCTTCATTCATTGTCACTGTAATTAAAATAACTATTATTGTTTAATCAGCTTGTAGTAGAGGAATTGTTAATTGGTTATTAGGAGTAAATAGTTCTCACTTTAGCTTAAGCCACGGAAAATGTCATTAATTAAGTGCTTTAAACCAACCTTTACTAGGCATTAATTGCATTAATCTTCAGTGTTCATTAAAATGTTTACAAAAAGACACACACACACACACACCCGCTAACAAACAAACACACACACACTTTAGTTTAGGGTCCAAATCTCGCTATTATCTGGTTGAGTTTTAGCATGCATATTACTAGGATTTTGGCTGTTTATTAGTACTCATAAAGCACATATTAATGTCTTATTCTGCATGCCCATATTCTACATCCCTTAATCCTACCCAATGCCTAAACTAAACAACTACCATACTAACTATTAATAAGCAGTAATTAGGAGTTTATTGAGGCAAAAGTCATAGTTAATAGTTAGTTAATAGCGAGAATTGGACCTTAAACTAAAGTGTGACCATTTATTTAAGGAACACTTAATAATAATAATGCAATTAATACCTAATAAAGGTTGGTTCAAAGCACTTAATGAATGACATTTTTTTTTTTCATTTTCCATGCCTTAATCTAAAGAGAGAACTATTTACAGTTATTAAGTTAACAAAACATAAAATAACATTATCTAACTTTACATGAGCTAATTAAACAATAATTGTGTTAATTACAGTGACAATGAATGAAGAACTCACTCTTTGTATATAGCCTATTATTAATATATTAACAATGTAGAGACTATTAATTATCTATAAACTAATAGTTTGTAAATGATTTTTAAGAACTGTATAACTATATACTTATAAATAGTTACCGCTAATCTTTGTTAATGTTAGTAAAAAAAAACAATTCTTAATTGTTATTCATGTTAGTTCACAGTGCACTTACCAGTAAACAAATGCACTTTTGGTTTTAAAAACCTATTGGTAAATGGTGGAATTAACATTAACTAATAATATTATTACATGCTGTAGAATTATTCTTCATTGTTATTTCATGTTAACTAAGTGTTACCGGTAATACTGTACAGTAAGTTTTAATTTGTTAACAGTTACCATATTAACTATTATGAACTAACAATGAGCAACACATTTGTTACAGTATTTATTAATCTTTCTTAATGTTATGTAAAAAAAAAAAAAAAAACAGTCGTTCATTGTTTGTTCATGTTAGTTCACACAGTGCATTAACTAATTTTTAACAAATACAAGTTTTTAATGTATTAGTAAATGTTGAGATTAACATGAACTAAAATTAATAAAATCCTGTTGAAGTATGTTCATCGATTCTTAGTTCATGTTAAAGTAGTTAACTAATGAAAACTTTCTTGGAAACTATTATCACCATGTTATCTTTTTTGTTTTTTTTGTTAAGATAAAGTAATACAATGAAGTAATACAAATCTTTATTTTGGATTTGGGTTTCTGTTTTTGTCCAAAATGCATACATATACATAATACAAATATTTATAAGATAAAGCATGTGGCAGGTGGAGCTAGAAACTGTAAGACAAGACATACTGCTCGACGACAATCTATTTCACTCTGCCCTTACCTTCTTTTGAAGCTATTTTACCTTTCTCTCCAGTCGTATATAAACAGACACAACATTAGGAATTTGGGATAAAGCCCGTTTGAAAATGATTTTTTACAAAAATGCTCCAGTGAAAGAGTAACTGGCAGCAGGAGCATGTTAACTGCCTCATTTGGAGGTGGTGTTGCCATGGGATGGAGCCTGTGGCTGCTGTTGCTGCTGCTGCTCCACGAGCGCTTGCTGTAAGCGCGTGCGCTTCCGTGAGTAATGCTGCCAGTGTAGGATCTGCTGTTCGTCTATGAACTTGGCACACTGCGCATTCACCAGCTCCTTTCGGAAGTGCTCATACTGCAACAGCTCTAACATGTGCAGACAATGAGGATATCTAAGGGGAAAAAGATTAAGATTTAAACTACATGAGTCTAATATGTCAATCACATAATCACCATGAGAGGAAAATTAATTTATTGAGAATCATTGGAGAATCGACTGTGTAGATTTATACTCCGCTGCCCCTACAGAACACACCATTGTGAAATGTACCATCAACTGTCCTGGCTGACCCCACCAGATAGAAGGCGTTTTCATTGGTTACAATTTATTTTTAAATGTATTTATATGGATTACCCTGCTTATTTAAAACAGTATTTAATTCCATTTAGGTCATCTCATAACTTGCGTCATAATAACCAAATTTATTTTCTCATTCCTCAGATCAATAAAGAAATAAGATATGCATTTCAATATAAAGCACCATACGAATGGAATAACCTTCCAAATTCAATTCACTCTTTAACTTCTTTTTCAATATTTAAGGATCACCTAGCTCAATATCTTTTGAATATATGTAATTGATTTTTATTTTTTTTGACTGGAGTCATTGTAACCTATTTTTGGCATAGTACATACATTTTTGTCTGTATATGAGTTTATTTGTGTCTAGATGTGTGTTTTGGTACATATTATATGTGTTTACTTTGTTTAGGGATGAGTGCGTCACCTTTAGAGAGTCTTGGATGAGTGAATGTCTTGTTTGTTTTGGTTTTGTTTATATATTTCTGTATTTACCATTATTGTAAAGTATGTTGTTTTTTTCTTATTGTGTATTTTTTTTTTTTTATTCTGTTTTTTTTTTTTTTTTTTATGTCATGTCATATTTGACACGTGTTGTAAGGTCAGTATTTGTATCTAGATTCGAGGACCCCCTCGAAAAAGAGATGGTTCATCTCAAGGGGTTATTCCTCCTCAATAAAATAAATGTAAAATAATATAGATGAGATCTGTTGGGGAAAGTTACATTTAAAAGTAATGCGTTACAATATTGCGTTACTCCCTAAAAAGGTAACTAATTACATGTAAAGTAATGTTAAATTATTTGCGTTACTTTATCCCTCCATCTGACTGAGGCTCAAGCTCTTCCAGCCTATATAACATACAACTTCCTTTTCTTTTAAAAACACATTTTAAATATTTTTTTATATTCTGACCACTTGGAATATGCCGTTTTTTTTTTTTATTAAGTTGATAGTGGTTTTTTTTTTTTACTTTTGTACTTTTTGTCTGTTCCCATACATGCATGAGTGTCTACATCATGGAGAAGACACATTACTTTAATCGTGTGTGTGTGTGTGTGTGTGTGTGTATATATATATGTGTAATATTAGATCAGTAAAAAATTTACAGCGTAAGACTTACTTCAGGAATTTAGCATATTCTGGTTCTTTCCAGTAAAGTAGATACTTCAAGTAATTGACAAAAGGCTTCTCTCTCAGGTAACCTCGTTGAGCCAGAACTGCAGGATAAAAAGCAGGATGTTATGACATTTTTAAATGCACAAAGCATGTGGGGAAAAAAGCATTTATAAGACATATCTACGAAATTGAACCATAGAAACAAAATTAGCTTAGATTCAGTGATTCAAACTGCTATAGATGAACCAATAACTGAAATATATGAATCACTGTAACAAAGTATTTAAAATATAAGCTTGTAACAATGTCAATGTTTGTTCTTACAGTTCAGATAGTTTGGGTTCGCTAGGCACTGAACAAACTCCAACTCCAGCTGGAAACGGTTTCTTGCCTGCTCCTCTGCGAAAGTATGATTTTAAAAGGTTATTATTATTTATATAAGGTTATTTTATTATTATAAAAAAAGCTTGAACGAAAATGCAACATATTTCAGTACAACCACCCCACGTATGAATTTATTTTCGCATAATGTAAATGGCATACGATACACCTATTTAATAAACTATTGTCACAATCAAATCAAACTCGTTTGCAGTCGTGCGAAAGAATATTAGTGAAATAACACGTTCATAGTCAACGTCAACAAATTACAAACCTGTTTCCATAATCCCAGCCATGACAGACGACGGGAGAGAAAACTATGTTGAAATATCTTGAAAATGTCTATATTTAAACGGATCTATAGAGAGATTACTAAACCAAAATATGCCGTTTTTGTTTGGGAAGATCTACGGAGACGCCATATTTACCAGAAAACCAGTGCGGGTGTCGTAAAATTTTCCGTCGTTCTTTCTTCTTCTATGGATTTATTGGCGGGTTGCATACCAACTTTATGGTGCATACCGCCACCACCTGTGCTGGAGTGTGAAGTGATTTCAGTCTAGATGTGTGTTAAAAGATGTCTATATTCTATTCCAACCACTATGCTTAATTAATTTTAAAACTGATCTTACAATTAATTTCAATTGCAAATGAGACCAGACAGTACTTTGAAGCTGCAAGTAGGGAGAAAAACATGGTATGGCTAATGGCTATCGTCGATGAATTTAAACATTAACATTACAGACAACTTAAACTGCTAACTCTTAGTTAACCATTAATATATTCTGTCAAACAAAGTTGCGAAGATGTCAGTCACAGATTTGATGAAATAATGTAATTTGTGTAGCAAATGGAACATAGATATAATGGAATAGGTCATGCGTATTTACACTTTCATGACGTAATCGAAACCTACTACAGCGCATGCGTGTTCAAACGTGAACTACGCAACGAATAATCAGTCTCTCAAACAGGCCTAACTACATTACAATAATAGCATTGTTTATCCTCCAGCTCGCTTTTTTTGTGCTCCTGTGTTTGGAGATGTGAAATGGCGTAAAGCTTGTTGAACAGTGAATAAATTATATTTTAATAACAAAGTAAAATAAGTCTCTTTTAAAATAATAATCCAGTAAAAAAAAAAAAAAAGAAAGTAGGCTACTGGAACGCGTAAAATTATATATTGATAACTCTTGTTATTTCTGTAAAGATGAAAAGCAAACTATAAAAAAAAACAATAAAAAAAAAACATTGCATACTCAAGTTTAATTTTTTTCATTTGCATTGTATGGTCTGAAAACTGAATTGTGAAGCGTTACACGGACCTGAAATGTTCCCCTATTTTTAATTTTCCTCTTGACAATAGATGTCACTAAATCTCATTTGAGCACATTTCTTGAATGGCAATGCTTTTTCTAATTTTAATACTTCATCTGGTCATCACTCATCAATATCCATTAGGACTTTACCAGGCATTGTAGATTTAATGTGATTACATTTAATGCAGTTCATTTTTGACCAACACAATTTGTATATAAAATATTTATTTTATGGGTAATGGGGAACAGAAGCTTATTTCAATACTCACAGAAATATAACATATAATAGCAAATATGTTTCGATTTCTACTGTTTCCTCATATGTCCAAACAATCTGGATGAAACATCATAATCTTCTATGCTTAACTTGTTACAAATTACCTTTAAACATTTTTTTTAAAGTGACATATACCCCATCTTCCCCTACTAAAACCAATGTTAATTTACGTATGTGTTCCTTTATAAATATCCCTAAAATGTCCTTAACATAATGTAAATTTGATTTAAAAACACAAAAGTATACTGATTTAAAACATTATGCAGGTAAAGGAACAAACAGTGTAAATGTATTAGTAGAAATATGAAAAAAAAACTGTATTTTAATTTGCATTATTAAATTTACATTGCAATAGTGAGTTTTAATGAATCTTGAATAATCACACTGTTCTGTCAAAACTGCCCTGCATGTGTACACAGTTGTCCACTGTTTAGATATCTGTGTTTAAAAATCCACATGGTATTTATATGATTCTAGCCTTTTGGCTTTCCACATATTCTATTGAAGCTGCTTTTCAAGCAACTTTATTATATGATTTCATTATGAATTTATACAAATTTATATTAAAAAACAACAACTGAACTGCACAGTCACAGCACAAGTGATGACACACACTATCATCTCCAGTGAAACCAGCCACTGGCTCGGACCCTGCCTGGCCTCCTCCGTTGGAAACATGGTGAGAATAGTGCTGAATGGTGCAGTTTGACAGCAGACAGAAGGAGTGGCTCAGTCTCTCACACATCTGTAGTGTTTGCCCAGCTGGGAAAGGTGTCTAAACTGAAGATAGCTCTGCCCCAGCTGTTTATGGCTAAGGTAATGGAGAGGATGCCGATGATATTCATGACAATCCCTGTCCTGGCCTGCGGACAAAAGCGAATATTTGGATAACCGACATTAATGGTTCTACATTCACATCAATAATGTTTTTCCAATTTTATTTCTTCATTTCATTTAATCCAATTGCCAAAGCATTCCATTTGCTTCAGATATCGCTGTGCATTTTGGATTTAATCATTTACAGTTGTGTGACGGTTCATTTAAAAACATTTTTTTTATTAATGGCTAACACTCACCATGTCAGACACTTTCAGGTATCCGTATGAGAAGACTATGGCGTTTGGAGGGGTGGCCACTGGCAGCATGAAGGCAAAAGATGCACTGAGGGTGCAGGGGATCATGACATACAGAGGGTTGATATGTATAGACTGGGACTGAAAACAAAACAAAAAAACAATGAATAAGACCAGCTTATTTTACTGAGACATATGGAATTGGATTTAATGCTATGTATTTAGTCCCTTAGAAATATATTCGAATAATAATTAAATATAGGCCTATGTATAGTAATAATGAGAAAATACATAGGTAGAATAGTTAAAATTATGTATTTAGCTGCACTCCGACCAGTCCGACACAGCAACATCGGCTCAACAGTCAGTAGCATATTATTGCAGTAGGCCTAGTTATTTTTCAGACAAGTTTTGAAGTTTTTCTGTGCATGTTATATCAGAGTTCTAGCTTCCTGTGTTTAGTAGTGATGGGAAACAAAACATTTCGAAACTTTGAATCAATTGAACCAATTTTCACAAAACGATTTTCTGTTTAAGCACTCGGAAACGCCACACACTGGTGACCCCTGCTGGTCAGAACAGTGTGAATGCAACAAAAACAACTAAATCATGCATTAACAACAACAACAACAACAACAACAACAAAAAAACACCTTTTACAAACCAAATACAAATGTTTTATTAAAAGTATAATCTATTAAATGCAATTAACAAATCATATAATGACCTTAAATATGAAATGTCTTTATAATATGTGTTATTTCATCAAAGTCCCCCTGTAGTCAATCATGTTATCCTTTAAAACTCATCTATGATCACCAAAATGACATATTTTGTGTATGCGGATCTATGAATATGCAAATTAGCCCCACCCCCACTCAATCTTCTTCCAGTATTGTCTAAAGTTTTAGAGAAGATTGTCTCAGGACAACTTGTGCACTATCTTGAGACAAATCAGTATCTGAGTCCTCTGCAATTTGGATTCAGGCACAACCATTCCACAGGATCCGCTACTTGTTTATTAACTGAAAACACTAAACAATCACTTGATAAGGGAAATGTAGTTGGTGCAGTATTTTTAGATTTAAAAAAGGCATTTGACACAGTAAATCACAACACCTTAATTTCAAAATTAGCTAAGTTCAATTTATCCAAACAGTCATTGTGCTGGTTTGATTCATATTTAAAAGGCCGTGAACAGTGTGTTGTGATTAATAATGTGAGATCCACTTTTCTTAAAATCAAAACAGGGATTCCTCAAGGCACGATCTTGGGACCCATACTCTTCAGTCTCTACATTAATGACTTGCCAGATGTAGTATGTCCAGATATAGGTCTACAGATGTATGCAGATGACACAGTGGTATATGCATCTGGTAATACCTATATTTCTGTGGCTGACAAACTAATTGCTAACTTAGAAAAAATATCATCTTGGCTGACCTCATCTTGTTTAACCTTAAACACCAAAAAAACAAACTCTGTCTGCTTTTCCATTAAAAAACTACCTCTAACACAACTTTTGAACGTAAAAATTAATGGGGAACTTATTGAACAAGTACCTGAAGTGACAACGCATTCTCATCCCAAAGCGTAATATTTTGACTCTTTTGCCAAAGCGTCTATATCCAACGCATATGGCACCCTTTAGCGTCAATATAACACGCTTCGGTTTTGGGTAGGTTTAGGTCTGGGGTAGTGTTAGGGTTAGACCACTAGGAGGCGCCATATATCTGCGTCTCATATGACGCTATACCCTGCTCCTGGAGAGCTACTGTCCTGCAGATTTTAGTTCCAACCCCAATCAAACACACCTGGACCAGCTAATCAAGCTGTTCAGGGTTACTTGATAATTACATGCATGTGTGTTGGAACAGGGTTGGATCTGAAGTCTGCAGGACAGTAGCCCTCCAGGAGCAGGGTTGGTGATCCCTGCGCTAAAGGGTACCTTGTGCGTTGGATATAGACGCTTTGGCAAAAGAGTCAGTAGTACCTCGGAATAATTATAGACTATCAGTTGAACTTTAAAAGTCATATTAAGAAAATCTGTAAAACCATTAAGGCCAACTTGAGCTGTTTTATGATGATAAGAAACTGCTTGACTCTTGACTGTGCTTTTATTTTTTTTAATTCTATGATTCTAACACACATATCTTATGGCTTAACCACATGGTCTCAAGCTCATCAGTCATCAATCAAAACCATAGAGTGTCTTTATAACCGTGCCTTGAAAGTTCTGGACAAGAAGAGAATAAGGTACCATCACTGCCAAATTCAAAGCAAATATAAGATTTTAAGTTTTGCTAATTTTATTTCCCTGCATCTGGTTAAACTGGTCTTCAAATGCTTAAATGACGCTGCTCCACCACCGCTTTGGAAAACAATAACAAGACAGCAAAGTAGTACTAGATCAATCACCCGTTCAGTGTCAAAAGGCAACTGTAGGATCCCTTTTCGAAGAACATCATTTGCCCAGGCTGCTTTTTCAGTTAAAGGGGCAAAATTATGGAATTCTCTGCCAGACCATTTGAAATGTATCCCAACAATAGCCTCCTTAAAAAAAAAAATACAAAATCGTGGTTAATTCAGGAACAATATTGCTCTCATACTTAGTATTTACACTTTGCTATCTCTGTATATTTTCTGTCCTTTTTTATAATTTTTTTATATTTTTTAATTGTAATTTTCTTCTCATCTTTTTAATAATGTTAAACTGTATTTTTGATCAAAAAGCCCTACTAGGGACAAGTGTCGTGAATTAGCTTTAGCTAAAAACACTATGATACATACATCAGATGACTGTTAAAGTTGATCTATGTTATTTGTGTCTGTCCCTATCTAAATAAACTATTAAATAAAAAATAAAATAAAAAGCTCAGAGATCCAATCGTTGACGATCATACGTTGACGTGATTGGTTACAAGGGGCCCGTTTCAATAAGGAGGTTCAACCAACTCTGAGTTAAAACTTGAACTCTGAGTTGACTTACCCTGAGATGGGAAACTCTGAGTTTTCGGTTACAGAACAGCTGAAATGAGTAAGTTCAATCAACTCTAAGTTGACTGACTCTGAGTTAAGCGCGTTCACCACAACTATAAAAAGCCATTATCAATGGAGCGCAGATATTATGAGTCACCATGGTAACAGCGCCAGACAAAAAGAGGTCTGTATATTTCTCACCAGCAGTACGCAAACAATTTTTTTTAAGCAACACGGCAGCAGTGGCGATCGAGAGAGTTAGTTTGGGAGAAAATAGTTGCTCGAGTCATTGCGTAAGTTTACATTTTAATTACTGTTATACAGTGTTGGGTGTAATTAGTTTAGTTTATTAAAGGGATTACTCTTAATTCTTCTGTAGCCTAATATAAAGTTAAATATGATGTCATTGCATTAAATACTGCATAGAACAATTCTGTATAAAACAATAGTCGATTTAACATAACATTTTTAAAAGGTATATTTTTAATGTTACCTTCTCCCTCTACACACTTTGGTCAATTCAAGAATAATTCATGCAATTGTATATTGTTAATTTGAAAGCATTAAAAGTGCAGTTTTGTCTCTTTTTGTATTGTTCAAGTGGTTGAGGTTGATATGGGATTTATAAAGTAATTAGTAATAAGTAGACCAACACTTTCTAGAGATAATTATTACATTAATCTAATTACACTGTTGAAGATGTCATTTGTAGTTAGTAATTAATAACTATTTTAGAGTAACTTACCCAACTGTTATCAGAGGTGAAACTGGAAGAACAGTATGTTATTCAACCTAATTTTAATTGCAGGCATTAAAAGAACATGGCAGCAGCTGAAAATGAAATATTAAAACATAATTCAATCAGGTAAGCCTTGAGCATATCATGGATGTAGGGTACCTGACTTTACAAACATTTGACATATTAAATAACTAAATAGCATCCAGTGTTTAGCAGTGCAAAAGCATTTTTGACACATTTTTGACCCTTTAACACAATCAAATATTCATTCTCATTTGACTTCTTCTCAGCCAACAGAAAGAAGGAAGAGGCTCACAAAGATGGAGATGAAGATGCAGAGCAGATAGAGATGAAGATGCAGAGGAGATGAAGATGCAGAGGAGATGAAGATGCAGAGGAGATGAAGATGCAGACAGGAGATGGAGATGAAGATGCAGATGGAGATGCAGAGCAGATGAAGATGAAGATGCAGAGGAGATGGAGATGAAGATGCAGATGGAGATGAAGATGCAGAGGAGATGGAGATGAAGATGCAGATGGAAATGCAGAGCAGATGGAGATGAAGATGCAGAGGAGATGGAGATGGCCCTGAGCCTGAATGCTGGAAGGCCAATGGCTGAGGGACTTCATCAGAGCCAGTCACTCCCGAAGATTCAATTGCCTTCATAAAATGTATAAGAGGTCTACATATGTATTATTTTTTATATAGGCTGTTTTTGATACTTCCATATATTTTACTTTGGGTTGGTTTTTTTGTTGCTTCAAACCGATTCTTATGGTAATATCTGTCTTTTGGAGCCTCCTGTCCCAACAGAACCCCAGACAGTTGTAAATACTCAATACACCAGAAATTATGACAAATAGTATTATAAAATGTGCTAAATCAAATGCTCATCTTCACAGGACGATGGGGATGAAGAAACAGTTTCTGCTGCCACAGAGAGCCCTACTAGGAAATGTTAATATTGTCTACACATCAAACAATCTACACATTCAAATTTCTTCACATTATTTATGTAGAGTAGCCTATAGAATCTAAGTTTATTTCTAAGTATAAACGGATATTCTTATCTCTCTTCGTCACCAGAGTGTGGAAGAACAGCAGGAGGAAGGTCCATCAACTTCTGGTGCATACATGATGTAACTCTAATCTACTGTATTTTCAGTTGCCAGTTGAGAAGTTATATAGACTTCATCTTATTAAAAAAAATGGAAAAAAACAGCAATGAATAAATGTACCAAAAGAATGAATGAGGTGTTTAAACACCGCTTTCTCTTTAAAAAAGGGGAGGAGACCGAAATAAACTCTGGGTTTACTGAAGTAAACCTGCTCCCGACCAGCTTAGGTTCACAGAGTAAGTTACCATGGTAACTGACTCTGAGTATAAGTTACCTCTCTTTCAGAAACGGGCTTGACTTACTC